GTCATCTGCGTATTCTAAGTAGATAAGTGGACCTCCTGGTAGGAGATCAATGCCCAAGAATTCAGTCGATGAGAGCGTGATTTCCATCAGTAGATCTATGATGAAGTTAAATAAAAATGGTGAAAGTGGACAGCCTTGACGGACACCACTTGAGGTTGCAAAAGCAGATGACAGTTCACCATAAGCTCTGACTCGACTAGTAATGTTCTAGTAAAGAGCCTTCACAATGTTTATGTACTTCTGAGGTACGCCTTTCAATGACAGACACTGCCACAGAACTTCTCGGTCTACAGAATCAAATGCTGTTTTTAAGTCAAGGAAGACCACCATTATCGGACGCCGATAAGTATGCCTGTGTTCCAGAACCTGACGAATGGTGAATATGTGGTCGATGCAGCCACAACCAGGTCTGAAGCCAGCTTGGTTCTCTCGTGTTTGCAGTTCACAAGTCTTATTTAGGCGTCCAATAATTATCGAGGCTAGTATTTTAGATGCTTTATTAGTCAGACTAATCCCTCTATGGTTGTCACAGGATGATTTTGACCCTTTTTAAATATTGGGACGATAAGTGATTGTGACCAGTTGGATAGGATAACGTCTAACTCCCAGATTTTAGCTAAAATATTGGTCAACCTAATCGCTAAAACTGGACCACCATCTTTGAAGACCTCTGGAACCAATCCATCTGAACCAACTGCCCTTGCTCGTTTCAGATTAACTATAGCCTTTTGAACTTCAGCTAGATTTGGGGGACCTACTTCAGTGTTCCATTCACACTGTCTGGGAATGGAGGGTAGTTGTAGAGTAGCTGAACTGTTCTCTAAAATGTTCTGCCCATCGTTCTAAACGTCTGGACTGGGAGCAAATGAGTGTCGTCTTTTTCCGAAATAGTCTGACTTACACTTGACTTATTAATTCCAGTTTCTTTTGTTAGTCTGTAGAATTGTTTTGTGTTCCCTATAGCCACCGCCTTTTCCATCTCTTTTGCCTTCGTTGCCCACCGCTGCTCACGGTCGTTCCTTAGACTTTTGCTTAATCTAGATCTGGTTTGTTTACGCTCTTCATCGTGTTCAGAACCTGATGGGATGAGTTTACGAGAATCCATCAGTGCAATAGACCTTGAAGAAATCCATTGGTTCTTTGTAACCCTGTGGTTCAAATTACTAATAGATGTCACTGCTGTTTCCACAGCAGCTTGTATATCTTTCCAAGCAACATCTGGGTCTGCCTCGTTTTCAGAACTACCTAAGTGTGACCTCAGTTGTTCTTGGAACCTACTTTTGGTCTTCTCGTTACTCAGTTCAGTTTTATGTGTATTTTATTGTGGCGCAAACAGATGCGTGCCCGTATAAGAGCATGGTCGGAGTCCAAGCAGGTAATCCAGAGTGAGCGACAATCAACTATCGACCCTCTCCAACGATGACTGATGGCAATATGGTCTATTTGAGTCCATCGTTGGTTTGGTGCAGGGGGTCGCCATGTTAGACGATGTCTCTCCTTATGCTTAAAATTTGTGTTTGTCTGAGCACAGTTGCAGCAGATGATCACCATTATCTGTTCGCTGTGCCGGAATACTAAAATACCCAGATACACGGAGGGTGTATCTCGTCGGCTCTCCGTTTTGCCGAGGTGAGGTCAAGTGGATGACCACACTAGGATCCTGTATGCGTGTTTCGGAGACACACAATACATCAAAGGTACGAGATTCTAGAGTTTTAGCCAAGGAAGCCTGCTGACCGATTCGACATAGTGTGCGTACATCGAAGGCTCCAATGTATAGTTTGAAGCGAGGTTTCAATAGACCTGGAACAGTGTTTTGCGCACTAGAATCGTTGGCTATGGTGACACTTGAGGAGGAAGCCGAAAGAGGAAGTTTAGAGTCGAAAGTCGATCAAGGAAGAATAATAGGAATTGAAGACGGCGGTTGATTATGAATACAGTGGTCTTGAGTGCTGTTAGATGTATGAGGGCGGTTATCACTTCCCGGTTGCCTACACCGTGGAAGGGTTCTTCCGGAGGTGTCTGAAAATGGAATTGTGTTAGGGGTGGTCTTAGTGACCTGAGAGCGTGACCGCAGTGCCCAAGGGACAACTGCTTGAGGTCGGTCACACATGACCATTTTATGAGTAATTTTTGTGTTAGCTCCGTACTTGTTGAGACCTTGCCGGCGGGGACAGATATCCGTGGGATAAGACGAGGTGTGCATTTTTAGGGTCGACCTTTTCTAACCCCACCCCTCCTTGTGGGAAGGCATCATCGCTGTCATGCTGGTTGTCTGAAGGAAAAACCTTACTGTCGTCACACTTCTGTACAGTCAGCAGTACGACTTCGCTTTCGGACCTTGGATTTGTTGCTTTTAGTCTTACCGTTCTTCAACCGACCTGTCTGACATGGTAGAACCTTGAGGAACGGTTGTTTCAGCCAGTATAGCTCAGTTGCTTCATCACGATAGGCAAGCCCGACCACCACGTCAAGGTAGCAACAGCGGTCGGGAGACAAACTGTTTACATATCTTTACTTATCAAGAGGAAATCTGAGTACTGTTTGAACTAAAATAAATGATAATCTAGTTTATGTAAATACTTAGTAATTATGTCAGACAATGATAATGTTGCTGCAATAATCTATTCATGCACCATTGCTTTTCAGACAGACAAGTCATTAGAAGTTTAAAAGCATTGGACAATACAAACACTATTCAGAAGTTGCAAATCATATATATTCACTTATCCTTTAAACTTAAAAAAATTGACTGCGTAACTAAATTTATACTGTGCACAAGGTTATAATTATTGTACTATTTTGATGCTTAATTCACAAATGATAGAGATTGCTTCTGAAACTGTGCTACGCCATTATATCATATTTATAACGATTGAAAAAGCCTATGCAAGACTTTTCACTTATGCACTATAACCGTCTCACATCAAATATGCGCATGTTTGCAACAAATGGCTTTTTTGCTGGCCTGTAGTAATGGTCATATTAAAGTTTTTAGTATGGGCATTACACTGAGATTAGATGAACTGGTGTGCCACATTCACACCCAACTTATGAGAGTATTCGATAGAAAAGCATGAACGGATTGCATCTTGTACTTACTAGTTGTTAACACACACAAACACACACCAAAGATAGGGTAGGATTTGAACCTGCAACTGAATGTTCGGAACTTAAGTGATTTAATCACAGAAATACTTGCAGTTAAAATATAAATATAAATATATAATCCCATCTGACTGATCTCAATCACTGATTGTGCCAGTCTATAAGAAAGGACAAAAGTCCTCTCGTGACAATCACAGAGGAGTCAGTTTGACTAATATAGTGTCTAAAATATTAGCTTCAATAATACTTCGACGCCTAACTAAAGCTTGTGAAGAGCAGACTAGAGAAAACTAGGCTGGTTTTCTACCTGAACTTCTACGTCAGGTCCTAGAACATAGACACACATTCAGACGCCCCACAATGGTAGTATTTCTCGACGTTAAGGTGTCATTTGACTCTGTTGATCGTGAGGTTCTATGGCAGTGTTTGTCACTGAAAGGAGTACCAAAGAAGTACATTAACCTTATAAAGGCTCTCTACTCAAACACAACTGGTCGAGTGAGAGCTTATGGTGAACTGTCATCAGAACTGATTACCTCAAGTGGTGTTCGTCAGGGCTGTCCACTCTCTCCATTCTTTTTTAACTTTGCCGTTGACGTGCTTTTAGAAATAACACTTTCCTCATCTAAACTTCCAGGAGATTCACTTGTTGACTTGGAATGTGCCGATGACTCAGTTGTATTTGGTGAAAATGCTAACAAAATGCTTAGTTTTCTGACGACTGTAAGCAACAATGAATGCTGTTCGGGATGTGATTCTCCGATGGTTAGAGACCTTGAATGACATAGCTCAAAATCATTTACATTGATGCAGGTGCATCTCCCAAATTCTAATCTTCTGAATTCTTCATGTTCGCTTTTTTAATATTTCTAAATATATTTCACTAGACTATACTCCTTGAATAACATCTTCAAACCCTAATCTTTCCGATTATTGTTTATACCCTAAATGATGTACGTACGTACGAAGATCTATGATGTTGCTGACTGACGGACTATAAAATACTGTTTCATTTAGGTTGAGTACATAAAAAATGGAGAAAGTAATCTACAGATTTGATCATACAATAAATTGTAATTGACAATGTATTGAACATTTAGTATTTATCGGATTCATTTATTTGAACACATAATTATTGGTATAAAGGGGAACCAAATACATATGCGCCACACATGTCACTTGATTTGTATGAGGGCTGGGATACTGACAGGGTACCAAAATACTTGACAACATAGGATGAATTATGCATGTAGAATAAACCTTTCTACTATGTACATCACACATGTTGAAGGAACAACTAATGAGCGTTGATTCACAAATGTACTTATGAAACTGCTAGCGATATGATCGTCTTGAAATATTACTTTTATTTCTCATCCAAGTATATCTAGCCGAAGTTAGTCCATGATGTTAACGATCTTCAAATTTATATATTTTCATTTGTGCTTTATGACTGAATATGAAGTGAACTTTAAAAATCAATAACTAGTTACTGATTTTTACATGTGTTAAGTTTTTTTCAGGGTTTTCACCTCTTCGAAGTGGGTCGTTTTAACCGATTACTTAAAAGTATCGTAACAAAGGGTGAAAGGTGGAGAGGATATAGAATGAGAGATAATAAGTTGAGGATAGTGTATTTCACATAATAAAAACATTTGCTCACATGTTCATTTAAATTGAAACAATCTATATTGCATGTCTAATACCACATCTTCGACGTTTAAATGCATCATCTTACTCAGATGAGATCACTGTAGTTAAATAATATGTTACCACAAAACCGAACACACCTTTCTATAATTATCTTACAAAATAATGCTAGTCAAACTTGTATGAAATACACCACAAACAACTAAAACAGATACTACATACTTTATCAAATCAAAACTAACCTTCATAACAATCTCGTACAGAATCGAAATACACATAGTAATCTTCATGTTTTAGGAAAAGCAAGCTTAGCCATGACTCAAATGCATAGATTGGGACGTAGAATAAAATTCGCACGACCCATCTCTGTTCATTTGGGCAAGTATAATTAATTAGATGCAAATAAATCTGTTTAGAAATTAATAACGGTAAGAAGCTAATAAGCATGTACAAAAAAAAGCTATATTCTTAATTAGTTTAGTAAACAGAACAGCTCATTATATGCAAAGTACATTATTTCAGACTTCAGTGGAGGGTATTTATTTATTTATTTGAACACATAAATACTGGTACAAGAGGGCACCAAATATATATGAGCCACACAAAACAATGAGAAATTGAAAAGAAAAAAAAAGAAGAGGGCAAGGAGCGTAAAAAAGAACAATAACGAACGGATTAGTGTGAGGTAGTGTAATAATAATAATAATAATAATAATAATAATAATAATAATAATAATAAGAATAATAATAATAATAATAATAATAATAATGGGGGAAACGAAAAGATACAATCGGAAGAAGTCTTTCAGTTAAGGAAGAAGCAACCACTTTTTATAAAGAAAGTAAAAGAAGGTTACAGCAGGATCGCCACTGGCTTCTATTCTGAGCCATATCTGATAACGTCTCTAGCCACTGCGTTACACCGTCTCTCGGACCCCAACCAGGGAGTCGTGAAGGACCAACAGAAGCTAGCCCTTTGCAGCTTTCTTTCATACCACGACACCATGTCATATACTGACCACCTCTCCGCTTTTTCCAACCAGTCCCAGAGTCGGCAAATAATGCACGACGTGGAATTCTCTGGGACGACATTCGTAGAACATGTCCAAGCCACCGAAGTCGGTGTTTCAAGATGGTGACACCAATTTCATTATCGTCTCTGTGACCGAACACTCGATGCCGAACCTCTGCATTACTGACATGGTGTTGCCACTGGATGCCAGCAATCCTTCGGAGACAACGATGATCGAACACAGAGAGTCGTCTAACATCCTCAACTCGGAGAGGCCAGGTTTCACAAGCATAGAGCAAAACTGCTCTCACCGTCGCGTTGTAGATCCGACCTTTTACAGCCAGACTAACATCACGAAGGCGCCAAAGATGGCCCAGATTGGCATAAGCCGCTCTGGCTTTCACTATACGTGCATTGATCTCATCACTCACCACCACCAACACTTATGCAGCTACCTAGATACACGAACTTCTCGACTACTTCTATCTGCTCACCATCCAGAGTGAGTACAGGATTAGAATCCTCCCAGTCTTGTAGAAGTACTTTGCACTTCGAAGGTGCAAAGCACATACCATACCTACGGACACTGATTGCCAACTGATTAAGTGCGGATTGCATGGCTTGGGCATTCTCGCACAGTAAGACAATATCATCCGCATACTCAAGGTCGAGAAGTCTTTCACCAGGCAACAGATCCACACCACCATTACTTACATCCGTCAGAGCTGTTTCCAGAATGTCATCGATGGCAAAGTTGAAGAGGAATGGTGAGATTGGGCAACCCTGCCTAACTCCACTTCTTGAATGGAATAGTGGAGAAAGGTGGTTGTATGCCCTCACTCTGCCTGAGGTGTTTGTATATAGGGCTTTAAGGATGTTAATAAACTTCTCAGGCACACCCTTCTTCAATAGACAATCCCAGAGAACAGTTCTATCCAACGAATCGAAGGCAGCCCTGATATCAAGAAACACTACGATTGTTGGCCTTTGATAAGTATGGCGGTGTTCTAACACTTGGCGGAGGGTGAAGATATGATCAATACATCCTCGACCAGAACGAAACCCAGCCTGCTCCTCGCGAGTCAATCCTTCTCGGGTTCTGAACAACCTACGAAGTATGACGGAAGCCAATAGCTTGGACGCAATCGGAAGTAGACTTATCCCCCGATAGTTGTTACAGGAACAACGTGAACCCTTTTTAAAGATAGGGACAACTATCGACTCATTCCATGACGTTGGTACACTCTCTAGTTCCCAGATCTTTGTAAACAACGTCGTCAGTCCCTTAGTCAGAAAGTCACCACCATCTTTAAAAAGAGCCGGAGGTAAGTCGTCTGGGCCCGGTGATTTGTAACGTTTCAAGAGTTGGAGTTCCTTGCGGACTTCCGCCTCATTTGGTGGATCAGTCGTCACCGGCCATGGAGGGCAGGACAGTCTGACCGATGTTGCCGGAGCAGCAGGCCAGTTGAACTGCCCTTCAAAGAATTCTGCCCATCGTCCAAGACGTCGATGGATGTTAGTGATTGGCGTTCCGTCATCCTCGCAGATTGTTTCGCTCACACCAGACTTCTTGCTGCCAGTGGCTCGGATGAGTTGGAAGAGCTTCCGGTAATTACCAGATGCAGCTGCTGCTTCCAACTCACTGGCACGCTCCGACCACCAGGCTTCTCGGTCCTTACGCAAGCTTTGCCCGATTTCATTACGTAACATCCTTCGTCTGTGGTCAAACTCACGGTCACCCGGAGTAGACCGACGGGCTTCAATCAGTTGTAAGGAACCAGAAGAAACCCAGTGCTTGTAAGCGGGACGTTTCGCAACCCACAACAGACTTACCCGCCATTTTCATGGCGTCATGCAATTGCAACCAATGCTCATCTATACTTTTCGGTGGAATGGTAGCTAGCCTAGAAGCTAGCTCGGTTCGGTACTTACTAGCAACAGAAGTTGCAGCCAGCTTGCTAACATCAATCCTTTGGTGGCGGTCACTTCGTTGTCCACTGAAAAGTAAGGTAAGATTGGTGCAGACCAGAGCATGATCAGAGTCCAGATAGGTACTCCAAAAGGAGCGGCAGTCTTGTACACAACCACGCCAGCGGTAGCTGATCGCGATGTGATCAATCGGAGTCCAGGCTTGAGATGCAGAGGGAGGACGTCAGGTGGCACATCGGCGATGGCTGTGCCGAAAGTTAGTGCTAGCCAGAAACAGGTTGTGGTCTGTGCATAGTTGCAGTAGACGTTCCCCGTTATCTGTCCTGCGACCAACGAGTCCCCATCGGCCACCTAAACGACTCTCTTCTGTGCCTAGACGCCCGACCTGAGCATTCAAGTCTCCAGCTAGTAATACAATATCTGTCGAACGCACTTTCTGGAGAAGAACAGTTGACTGATGGTGGAATTCATCCTTGATCTCATCCGGGCTGCAATCTGTCGCGGCATAGGCGGAGATGACGAAAAGATATCGTTTCTCACGCCGATTTCTTCTCACTTTGATGGAACTTTCTAATCTAACGGCACATAACCGACTGTTAATGGTGATCCAATCGATTAGTGCTGCCTCAGCTCTAGCGCTTAGTGCGACACCAACGCCAGCAAGACCAGGCGAAGATGCCACAGGGTCCCCGGATAAACGCACGTAAAACAAGAATTTTGAAGCGACAAATGGAGAGCGAATTTGTAGTACTTCACTGGAGTCTTGAATACGGATCTCGGATAAACAACAAACGTCAATATTAAGACTTTCCAATGACATAGCCAGCCCTATCTGTGTGCAAACGTTGAAGGCAGCCAGTTTGAATGGTGCACGTGGTTTCAGAAAAACTGCTTCAGTACTCGTATTCGGTAGTAACATACAATTTTCAACCAGGCAGTGACTCGAGAACGTTTAGATAGGGCCGAATTTCCACCATAGGCGAGCTGCTCTATAAGTCGAAAAATAAGGATAGATAGAGTAGGAATAAAAGAAAGTGAATAAATGACGTGGTAAATTATAATAATAACAATAACAATAATAGTAATAATAATGACAGTGCGAATCGTCCGATTGTTAATTGGAGCAAGAAGAGTATCTTCCATAAATGTCAACATTTCATCATGTTTGTGTGTGGGTTGTAATACTGCCCAGGTGCCCAAACCGAAGCAGATGGTTTTTTTAGGGAACCACACTCCGAGCCTTCGATCTAAAGGTCTAACCCACAAGGCAGTGGAGCATCGTGAGGAGATGCAGTCCCATGGAAGCCGGTGACCAAGAAATTGGTTCATACGCTATTTGTTCCCTCAGGATACTGGAGCCCATGTACACAGTGGAGGGTGCTGGTTGATGGTAGTCTTACATACGTCGCAAAATGACTGGAGTTACATGTATGGACTATCCGATTTAGAAGTATACACATATTGTGGCTCTTACAAAATTTGGTCCTAGGTCTGCAACAGGTAACGCACTATTCATGATTCTAGACAAAACAGCCCTGTAGTGTTTGTTGATTTTTACTAGTTTTTCAGATGACTTCTGTCTGTAGTAAAAACCATCTTTAGATTAAGCAGATTGCAATAAAATCCTTGCCCATATATATATATATATATATATATATATATATATATATATATATATATATATATATCCTAGATTAACTTTAAATAATTAGTTGTTTACTGGATCAAACCTATCAGCTCGTATTACCACATAGGCTTGCCTGTGCAGATAATTTGACAACAATTGAGAATTTGGAATGCACACTTCACCTTGTTCAGATTATTTTAGTTGAAGGTATCAATCTCTTCATTTTTTTAGTAGTTTTGCCAAAATCAAAGCACCAGAAATTAAATCACAAAAACGATTCAATAAAGCTATTCATGAAATGCATGTCTAAAAGCTACAAACATAAACTATGAGAAAAATATAAAAAGGATTAATATTAGTGTAGACTGGAAGTTTTGATATAGCTGTTCCTAGTTTCGAAACGCCTTACCGTGAAAAGTTTGTTTAAAAACAACTTGTAGAAAAAGTGGACTACAACAAACACTAGTTCTATAGATGAACACAGGAAAAATAAAGGAAAACTATTTCTTTGGAAAAGTCAGATGAGAACTACAACTATTTTACATAATGAACAAATTTGTTAGGCAGATAGGTTTGTAAGCTCAGTTAGGCAAATTCTCTGTCTATTGACATAAGACTTCATCAGACAAAGCAACTATTGATATACATGGGTTTGAAATAGCATCAGTCTGTTAAATACAGACGCACAATATTTACTTAGCAAAATGAATAGGTTGCGTAAAACTAAGCAGTGAAAATAATGCTCATCTGCTAGGGGTAACAAAAGTATATATCTTCTCTCAAACTAATGACCAGGAGCTGAATATTTCAAGCGTGTCTTTATTTAGTAAAGACAAAACA